CTACTTGGGCATGCAGAGGAATTGGATGCCACCCTGTGCTAACCAGGAACTTTCCTTGGAAGGGAACTCACTGCAGTATTCTGCCACTTCTATGGCCAAGTGGAGCAGGGAGTGCAAAGGCAGCACTGAAAAAGAACTGTAACATGAAATTACCCAATTGATTTCAGCTTTCATAGAAGTCTGAGGCTTTCATGAGCCCACGATGCAGTTCTAAAGGTATTTGTTGTTGTCTTCACCAAACATTCTTCCCTTGTCCCATTAGCCAACATGGAGGGATTTCATCAGGAATTATCCACTCTTCTGGTGGAGGAGGAGGAATTTGTAAAACTTCAGGTGGAATAATCGGAGGAGGAGGAGGAGGAATCGTGAAAACTTGCCATACTTACACTTCTTCTTCCACATGCCCACCTGTGGATATACAAGGTTCGAACAGTGGTATTGTATAAGGGAAAAGGTTTCCTTAGTCCTCTTCTTTTTACCAAGGACAGAAGAGAACCTGTCAAATGCACCCTCTGTTGGGTGGCATAGGGATGCTACTTGTACTCTTTCAGGTAGTTTGTGTGAGGGCGCTGGCCAGTCTGTTATGAACTGATGATACTAGAATGGTATGGTACTGGGAAAGTTGCCAGGAAATAGGCCATAGGGATTTTCTGGTTATGAAACTGAGAAATGAGGGAGAAGAGTGAGGGAGAAGAGAGAGAAATAGGACAAAAAGGGAGAGATGTAGAAACAGAGGGAAAAGAGAGAGAGAGAGAGAGAGAGGGGATTTGGAGGAAAGTTTGGAAATAAATATTGGGTGAAGTCATAAAAGTTGGTAGGTAAACCCTCCCCCCGTGCTTGTTCATTTCCCACAAAATTTGGGCATGGGCTGTAGTTACAGCTCTAGGGGTGTCTCTTGCCAGCCCCCCATTCTATCCCAGTCTGTCTGTGACATGGGCACACCTCATGGCTTGATGCTGGAAGAGAGTTGGATTTCATTTTATTACATTCAAGTTGGGATTTCTTTGATCTCTCCTCAGGTCCCTGCAGAAGGGTTTGTGATTAATCTGAGAAACCAGCATCCTCTGGGGCAAGACCTATGGAGCAGACCCATGGACCAAGCAAGAGCCTACCCACAATGTTTACTGCACACCTATGCCAAGAGCAAGGCGAAAAACTCCTTCCAACTACTCAGTAATGCTGATGCCATTTGTCCAAAGGGGCCCATTAGAGTTTTGGCCTACTTTCCTCCCTATTGTGCTACTTGCTTACTCCATTCTGTCCCGCCTTCTGTGCCCAATCGCAATCATTACTTATTTGAGTTAATTTGTGCTGAGATTGATTACCTTCTGGTGAGAAATCACCCCCCCCTAATAAAACTTTGCTTTTGCCTGATGCAAACAAGAAACCTGTGTCTGGAAAGTGATTTCTTTCAGCAAGCTTTTCCATGCCTCGTGGTAGGATTGCAAATGCATAATATTGTGCTTGGATAGTTCTGTTAAACTGTGTAGATGAGTCATCTAAAGCTGAACTGAGTTTTAGGACACTTAAAGGGAACATCCTGACTTTGACCACCGAGTGTAGGGATATGCCCTTATTGACCCAGTAGGTCTTTTCCAGCTCTAAGGTCAGTGATCACGTATGAGACTCCTCCTGACACTATATGAGCTACTATTGTACACAGGTAGTGTCTACAGACCATGCTGGTGGGTATTTTTGCTGCATTAAAAAAAGAAGCAAGTAGTGTACAGCTGAGAAAGTATTACCAACAGCTGCAATATTGCACCTCCTTAATCTCAGTCTAGAAAATGTATGGCACAGGTGCCTGCAATTCTAGCCTCCCACATGCTTATACTGCTCCTCTTCAACAACAGATCCCCCTGATCACCTTCAGCACTAAAAGCTGTTGGTATTTGTGCCCATTTCATCTCTTCTGAGATGTCTAGCAAATAGCCCTATTCATTCCTCTACTAAAGACTCCTCCCCACGAAGGAGTAGGCTGAAGTGACCAATTAATTTCCTCTGTGCCATGAAACAGCTACTAGGTTACAACCTCTCTTTGAGAAGAGGTTCAGTTCTGAGCTGGGAAGTCAGCAAACACCTTGCTGAAAGGGATATGCTTCTATAAAAAGAGAGGTGTTACCTGTGTTAATCTGAAGTCAGGCAGAAGGCAGGGCAAGATTCTACTTTAGAGACTACCTGGTTCAGAGAGGCATGAACTTTTGTAGGCAGCAGCCTCCACACTGTTATGTGTATTATATTTTAGTTGAACTTTCATATTTATTCAACCAAAGGACCTGGAAGTAGATGTAGTACTTTGAATAAAATACGTTCTTCGAAGTCTGAGAACTTAAAGAAATTCTGTGGCTTTAGGCTCAGTGTATATGAGATAGTGGCCATCTTGGCAATATTTTATTTATGGGTAGAAATTAAATGGGAAGAGAGGGAGAGAATGCAACAGTTGGCTTATATGTCCACATCTGTCTCTTGAACATATATCTAATACATCATGATGGCTATACTTAGTTTATTCCAAATTTAGAGGAACTAATGGTTCTAGAAATAGTCCTTAGTTTTAAAATGGTGAATGTCTGTATGTATAATAGAGATACCAGAAACGCTACTCATATCCTGTGAGGGGAAAATTGGGATCCTCATTAACTGGTAAGTTTAGCTAGCAAATGTTCTGTGCACTTCACAGACTCTCTCTCTCTCTAGTCTAGATAATGACATAGATGAAGATGCAGTGGTGCAGCCTGCATGCTGATGAAAGACGGATGGGTGCAGGTGTACAAACTGGCATTCTGGATTCTGTTGTTCTGAGGCATGCAGTACGTTCAGGCGGCCTCTTGCTGCTGTTGCTTTTGGTGTGCAGGCTGCTGAGGTCTGTGCATTCTGGAAGGCTGACATTAGCCTTCCAGATGCAATGCAGAAAGAACAATGCAAATTTGTATTTGGTGGTGCAGCTCAGAGAGATTTATTGTCACTTTGACAGTATGCCAGCTGGTCTGTTTAACAATCAGCCCACCTTAGTGAAGCTTAGTTTGCACATGACAGTAGTGACACAATATATCAATTATGGTCCACAAGGTCACTATGAAAAACAAGTCTTACAGCACCTGTATTTATATGCGAAATGTCCTGGTCTTGTGCAAATTTTTATCTGTGTTTCAGTCAAGATGTCCATTTCTACTTGTCTCTTTAGCCAAGTTCGCATACCTGCATATTTGGTTCTTTTTATCTCTGTCTCATTAGTGGGTTCTTATTTTCACATTACTTTCCAAGTTATTCAGCTACTGCTTTTGTTACTCCTGTCTTTGGATTATCTTCTTCACTCATTGGTGTGTTTTGATTTTGTATGTTTTTTATCAGATCATTCAGCCATTGTGAGGCATGTTCTTCCTAAGGTCTTTTTTGGATCCTTAGCTTAATTATAACTTAGCATACATTATATATAGTTTACTGTAATTGGAGCTCCCATGAAATCCAGTATAGACAGCAGTTATATGATGGAACATGTCTTCCGTAGAAGAAGGGTCAGTGCATCAGTGACTAGTGCATCCAGGGTCCTTTGAGGCACAGTGGTGTCCTGTTTGTATCATTATTTACAAGGCCAAGCTCCTTCCTTCCTCTGGACAAGAAAGTCACTATTGTGTTTTTGAATGCTTGGTCCAAATGAATGTTACGACATTTATGAGCCATGTCAGTGATGTACATGTGTTGGAGAGAGGGTCTGCTTTACACTGAACACTCACATCTCATGTAACAGGACAGGATGCTGCTATAGCTGCTGCTCATTATGAATGAACACCAGTTTGACATCATAAAGACAAAAAAGCCTCTGGCAGAACATTTTTACCTTTCCTGGTCCTTCCATCACTGGTCATTGCTGTTCTCAGGCAAAAAAAAAAAATTAAGAACCAGTTTGAACAGGAAAGTGAGGCACAAAAAACCATCCACAAGCTGGACTGTGTTAAATATGGTTTAAACAGGAACTATGGCTTCTTACCTCATTACCTGGATTAGCTTTTGTGACCCCTTTGTTCCTATGGGTTCCTTGCTTGTATGCCTCTTATGTCACTCTCCTCCTGCTGTCCTGCATGTTATATTCTAATCACTCCACTTTGTACTCTTCTCTATGCTGTCCTTTCACATCATCTGATGGAGCAAACTTGGGTTCACAAAAACTTGTGTTCTCTCCCCACTCCCACTCCACCCTCTGACTCTCTTTCTCTTTAAAACTTTTCTGTTCTCTCTCTCTCTCTCTTTAAATTAGTCTATAAAGGTGCATATTTATCTTGTCTTCTTATTGACTTCAGACAAACATGGCTAACTACTAGGGGTGTGCAAAGTGGGCCCTATTCGATTTGGATACGGCCTGAATCAGGGACAGTGATTCGATTAGTTGATTTGGATCACTGTCCCTGATTCAATTTGGCCGAATCCGAATCTGAAGATTCGATGCTGATTTGGACATAGACACAGCTTTAAATGTTTTTTCTACATACCTCGAGGTACCGGATGTGCTGGTGAATGCTGTGATGCTGGGGCAGATGGAGCATCCCACAGGAGCGCAGGGGGCCCTCCACGTGCTTGGCAGCAAACCTGGAAGTGGACCAGAAGTACTTCTGGTCCACTTGTGAGTCCACCTGGCTCAGCGATTGACCGAAGGGGGGCCGTGGGTGCCTCCCAGACTCAGGAGGCACCAGTCGCCAAGCCGGGTGGGTACAGGGGGGTCCCCCAGCTTGCTCCCCAGTAGACTTGCAAGTGGACCGAAAGTACTTCTGGTCCACTTCTGGGTCTGCTGCCAAGTGTGGTGGGGAGCCCCCCGTGCTTCTGTGGGATGTTCCATGTGCCCCAGCATCGTAGCATTCATGAGCCACCTGCTACCTAGAGTTATGTAGAAAAAACATTTAAAGCTGTGTCCATGTCCGAATCTCTGAATATTTCTGAATCTCTCCAAATCGATTTGGAGGGTTCTGATTCGATTTGGAGAGATTAAAGGGTCATCTGATTTGATTTGGATTCGGAGATTCGGCCACTAAATCTGGCCAAATGTCTGCTGAATCGAATCAGGGACCAAAGCTTTGCACAGCCCTACTAACTACCTCTTGCTGCTAATTTTAAAAAATAGTCATTGTCATAGCCTTTGAAAATGATGTTGGTTCACAAAGTGTTTTTGCAAAGGAGACCTGCCCCCTTTCCCTCAGCTAATCCTCTGTGGAGATGTTCACCAATCAACTCTGGGATGGAGGAACAACATATAGGAATTCAGGACTGAGTACATACACAGTAGCGTACAAGATGGCACTCATCTGTGGTAGTTTGAAATTCCTTTAGATACAAGGGACCTCCTATAGCTAGAAGAATAGATTTTAAGAAAGCAATCTACAACCAAAAATCTAGTGGGTTCCAAGGAAAGGAAGAAAAAGGTTTTTAAATAGGACTAGGCTTGTGAGCAGCATCACAGTCACTTGCTGGCATAGTGAGTCCCTACACCACAGGGTTCCTCCCATCCCAATCCTTAGGAGATCTGAATGCCCACCTGGTCTGGATTTTCTAAAATCCTTGATACTGTCAGCTGGGCTTGAGAGTGTTTGCATCTTTGCACCTGTATTTTACCTCTGGACAATTGTCAATAAAGATTCAATAAACTTTTAATCCAGAAAGTTTTGGGATCATTTTCCCTTCATGGAAGATGTACCCTCCCTTCATGGAAGGTGTACTCCTGTACAAATATGATGGCTACAGTTGCTAAATCAACAGTCATCAACTCTTTTAGACTCAAGGCACCTCTCAGAAAATGCCAGCGTTTAGCTTTCATTCATTTTTTGACTGGGGAAAAACAATAGAGAAAATTCTTCTGTTACAAAGAATTCAGAGAGCTCACAATGTGTCAGAGTGTGTTTGAGACTATGGATTCCTTCTTGAAATCTTTGGGTTGATCTTGTTAATCATGTGTAGGTGTATGCACACCTCACAGTGCTAATACCAAGTGGTACCACATGGCACCCTTAAAAGGATCTCAAAGCACTGCAGCATGCTTCAGCACCCTGGCTGAGAATCAGTGGGCGCATCTACTTGAGACATTTACTGCTCAGTTGCCTAATTAACTGCTCAGTAAATGTCTCAGTGTCTACATGTGCACCCCTTTTAGGGAGCACAAAACTAATAAACTTCACAGGAGGGTAGTACTTGTAAATATAAGTACTACACTGCTCCAGAGTTTTTTCATGAGCAGCAGCACACATAGATGCTGGCTGGCTGGCTGGGGTATGAGGGTGCTTCAGTGCCAGGGCTGCCTGCTGGCTAGCCCCACAATGAAGCACTCTCGTGCCCCAATCAGCCCCTCTGCAGCACATTGAACCCAGTCAAAGCAGCTTCTGGCTGGCAGGCTGACTCCTGGTG